CTAAACCCTTTCATAAACTTCATCTCATGGAAGAGACAATCCAAATAATAGACAATTGTTTAAAATCCACATGCCTGGATATAGAAGGCCCTTTGGTTTAGGAGAAATGCCCTTCAGAGTAATGAATACCTTCTGATATAACATTTTTTTACATGCATGTTCAAGTGTTTTATAATGGGATGAACTTTTGTTTATAGAGGTTGATGAGTTTTATTACATACTATTAAGCATGTCCTTGTATCTCAAAAACACAATGATGGTTACCAGAGGGACGAGGCTTGGAGACGGGCAAAATGAGTAAAGGGGATCAAAAGGTACCAACTTCCAGTTTTAAACTAAATAAATCCTGGGGATGTGATGTACAGCATGGTGACCATCGGAGTGCATATTCAAAAGTTGCCAAGAGAGTAAGTCTTAAAAGTTCTCATCACAAGAAAAATTTTGTAACTGTCTCAGATAACAGGACTTATTGTGGTGATCCTTTCCCAAGAGACAAAAATGTCCAATCATTATGTAATGTTGTACACCTGAAACTAATACTATACTAGTACATGTCTATTATACCTCAATTTATAAGAGGTAAAGAACACTGTATCCGTGGAGACATGGATTTCGACAAACCTGAAAAATTGTGAGGGTGGGGTGGGCTGCAGTGGTAACAGACTCCAGAGGAGCCAGGGAATTGAGAAGGATCTGCCTTTAATTTCATTGAAATCTTAAAAAACAAAAATAACTCACATGGCTTGAACTTCAATTGTAAAAAAAAACAAACTTATGTGGGCAGGCAGTTATTTTTATCATCTGGCATAAGTTTTAACTAAAGAAACAAAACAATCAATAGTGTTATAAAAGCCACTTATACTCTGAGCTTGAAACAACTGCTTTATGCCACAAAATTCCTGTTGCTACCTCCATTAGTGACTGAGTAATTCAATATGTCTTGAATGTCAACATATTTTTATTACTCAGCTAAAGTTGGCTTTGCTGGATTAAATGCCATTTAAAATTATTAAGTGGCAGCTTGTTTGGGGTTATTTTCACATTTATGAAAGGGAAACACTTGCACGATACACATGTTTCTGAATCTTACAGGTAAAGTCTGCTCTCTGGTTAGCCAGCCTCTCATTTACCAACCAAAGAGCAGATAACCTTCTAGCTCCCTTTGTTTAGTCAATGGTTTGCATACAGGTCCCAGTGTGATGGAAGACCAGCATGCTAGCCCAGTGCTGGGCCCGCCCTTCCTTGAAGAAGTGGTCTGGTTCACATTTTACTGTTTTATGAGAAATAGGTGGCACCAAGACAGTAAAAGAGAAGCAACAGAAACAATAAAGGTGAGAGCCCTTGTGCAGATGGGGATTAGAGGAGAATCAGCCCCTTGAAGATTTAGCTTCAGTAAGCCTACAGCTGGGAGGACTGCCGATGCGTTGCTCACCTCCATAAGGGCAAAATTTCTCCATGTCGAACTATACAAAACAACCAGATAGTTCTTTATTATTAAATTTATCAATATGAGCACTCTAGAGAATCTCATTCCCAATCCAGACAAATCCAAAGGCGGCATCAAGCCTCTCTGTGGTAAAAATGATTGTAACCCTGGGAAACAGCAAAGTTATACACCCCCTCCCCCAAACCTTGCTTCTCCTGTTTACCAGCATTTTATGTGATATTTGGTTTTGTCAGGTGTTCTCCAGTTGGAAGAGCTGGTGGGAAGTTAAAATGTATCTGGCATTTGATGGCAGGACAAAAGCTGGACAATTAAGCCACAGCTCAGTTCTCTGTTTTCCATTTGCAGTAAAAATGTAAGACAGGGAGGTGGTAAGGAGGGAGAGGGGTAAGACACTTTGCCCATATCGGTGCTCTGCCCAGAAACTAGAGTAGTCCTCTTGTTAGAGCTAGACTGTTCTCAGTCTGCAGTGGTGTGACTCTGACTTCTCTTGGTACTTTATTACACTAGAGATTGTCCCCCTGCCCTCTCCCCGCCCTCAGCCCACCCTCTGGCAGTAAGAATGCAGCTGCAGGTAGGGGGGTGGTAGAAGTGGCTGGTCAGCTCTGCTAGAATGGGGTTCAGACTCCAGGAGCCCAGCGTCATTGTTTTAAGAACACCACTGTCCTTTTCCAAAATACAATGAACCACATATCACATTAATTTTTAGATACAGGTAATCAGAGGGGTAAAGGATACAGTAAGAGATACTAAGGATTTATGATCATTTTTTTTAAATTCTGGTTACTTTTTTTTTTATTTTAGAGGGGGGCGGGGAGAGAAACATCGATGTGAGAGACATGTTGATTGGTTGCCTCCCAAAGGCAGAACCTAAAACCTAGGTATGTGCCCTGACTGGGAATTGTACCCAAGACCTTTTGGTGTATGGGACGATGCTCCATCCAACAGAGCCACGCAGCCAGGGCAAGATTTATGGTCATGGTAGTTCCTAGAAAGATTAAGGCTCCCAGAAAATGCCATATTTTATGCCAGCTCCTGCTGTACAGAGCAAATGCTAGATTTCATAAAGGATGCACTAAGCAGACTTAAACCTTGCTCTGGAAAGTCCAAAAATTTTACACTTGTATACCGGTTCACCCGCTTCTCTGAGGGTAGGAACCTCATTGGGCAGTGCGGCTCAGCACAGGCCTCCGAGTCACGTAGAGCCTACAATTCTGTGTCCCTCATGAGCTGTGCCCTTTGGGTCAACTACCAAACCCTCTGAGCCCTAGTTTGCTTGTCCATAAAATAGCAACAGCAACAGCACCTGCCTCAACAAGTGCCGCAGGGATCAAGTGTGACTCACAGAATACACAGCACAGTGCCTGCAAACAGCACCGAAAAATACCATTGTTACTTTCGTGACTTTCTCTTCACTCACATTATCACTCATCCAATAATCCTGTAAACCAGCGATTTTTAACTGGTGTGCCAAAAGAATTTTTAGAACATGCAGCACCTGACTATTTAATCAGGGGCACTGACCTCTTTCCCCTTAGATTGTCACATAAAAAAATGACAGCAGCCCAGCCAGGCATGGCTCAGCTGTTGAGCGTCAACCTAGGATCCAGGCGATTGAGGTTCGATTCCAGGTGGGGGTACATGTCCCGGTTTTGGCCTCAATCCCCTGCAGGGGGCATGCAGGAAGAAGCCCATCAATGACTCTCGTCTCCCTTACTCTCTCTGAAATCAATAGATATATATTTTTAAATATATATGTGTATATATATAACAGCCAACAGAAAAATAGCTATCTGGTGTGAATGAATCAAAATTATACCTACTTTTCTGTAAGATCAGCAAAAAATATATTTTTTGTTGTGCCCCAAAATTTTAGTATTTAGTTTATGTGTGCCGTGAGATGAAAAAGGTTGAAAATCATTGCTATCAAGTAAGTGTTGCTTGTCCCTTTTCATAAATGAGGAAACAGAACCTCAGGGGGATTCAAGAAACTCGCCCAAGGTGACCCTTGTAAATGTACAAGTTCCTCTTGTAAATATACTCCAGAGAAGGGTGTGTTCATTGCTCTGGGGGTGAACGTGCTGGCTCCAGGATACTCCAAGTCTAACCCAGACACTCCCTCCCGGGTCTCCCAGGCCTTGCCCAACAGAAGGAAGTGAGCACATTGTAGTGCAGGAGCCTCCGGGTTGAAATCCCAGGACCTCGGGGGTGAGAGGGTTAGAAATAACGTGTGCAGAGTGCCGAGCACATACACGGCATCCTGTGATTCATCAGCTGTTACCAGTCATGCTGGTACTGCCTAGCAGAGCTCCCAGAGTCAACAGCGAACTCCTGGAATTTGGGTCTCTTATGCTCATCTGGAGGCCAGTCCAACACCAGCTAGACCTAGAAAGCACCAGTCTCCCTCCACCTACCTGTCAAGGCTCTGCCAGAGGGTAAACCACATACCATTATGGCACAAACCCCCAGGGAGCACCAGAACAAAGGAGAGGCATGCAGTATGTGTCTTCTCTTTGAATTTGCCAACCCACAGCTAAAAGGCGAGGTCTAGCACAGGGTCTGGCCTGTGCTAACTCACTTGGTAACTATTGCTTGCCTGACCAAATAATCAAGCATCTGTTGTACTGGGTTTCTTTCTACCCTGCTTCCGTCATAATAAAACAGTTTTAAAGACCTCCAAAGTATGCTGTAGTGAGGATATCTGTATTCTTTTTTTCTTTTAATATATTTTTATTGATTTCACCGAGAGGAAGGGAGAGGAAGAGAGAGACAGAAACATCAATGATGAATCATTGATTGGCTGCCTCCTGCATGCCCCCTACTGGGGATCGAGCCTGCAACCTGGGTATGTGCCCTGACCAGGAATCAAACTCTGATCTCCTGGTTCATGGGCCGATGCTCAACCACCGAGCCATGCTAGTAGGGTGAGAATATCTGTATTAAAACACAAAACAAAACATGCTGGTCCGAGTCACTAAATCACATAATGTTTTTCTTTTCCCCACAGCCTTTCACTCATCATGCTGCTCTTTCTGCCATTTTTAGCCAACCCCAGTCCTCTTGTCTTCATCCCTTCAGTGTCACCCTCCAACACCAAAGTCATCTTAACGCCACCACTATACCACCCTGCTCTCCGGAGCACTGGGCCTCGCCTCCTGCCCTGTCACCCTGCCAGCCCACTTTCAGAGCCAGTGCATTTGCAGTTTGAGCTGGTTCTCTCGCTCGCTCTCTCCTGTGGGCTCTGCTCAAATTCAGGTTATTGGTCATGACTGACCATGGACAAATCACTTCCTCTCTCCAGTCACTGTGTCCCCCTCTGTGGAAGGAGGCAGTTGGCTTGGATGGTCTCTAAGGCCTGCACAGGACAGAGGTCACCCTCCCCCGCACCACACCACAGGCCTCAGTGGGCATAGATCTCCTCCCTGTCAGACGTGGAAAGTAGGCCGTCCATCCAAATAGGCAAAAGCAGTTACTCACTCGACGGTTTCCTGCTTCTTGGCCATAGTGTCAACAAGAACCCTTTTCAACAGTGTTTTCTTGCTCTTTTCCTCTGTAGACTGTAGACTGCTTTGGGATTACGTCTATCAGTTGCTTTCTGACAGCCGGTACGAAAACTTCATCCGATGGGAAGACAAAGAATCCAAAATATTCCGGATAGTGGATCCCAATGGACTGGCTCGCCTGTGGGGAAACCATAAGGTAAAAGGGCAGCAGATATCTGCTCTGTAAACGAGTGCCAAAATAAAGCCTTTATCTCGGGGTTGAAGGATAATTGTCTGTCTCCTGCTTCCTAAGTCTGCCCGTAATTATTTAGTTTCTTCCTTACTGGGCAAACAATTAGACAGTTGCAAAGGGAAGGAGATCATTAAAGATGCCTCTTTCCGTTTGTTACTGAGGCCAGGTGCCAGTGAACTCAGCACATCCTGGTCTGGTAGGGCTGAGGGCCGAGAAGCCCCCCTGACCTGGCCCCGTCACCCGCGCCTGTGCCCAGCATTGGGAGCTGGTCACAGGGAAGCGCGTGGGGCTCTGACGCACAAGGGAGCCTTCCAAAGCGCGGTTTCTGTTCTGCTCAGTGAGAAACTCCCATGTTCCCGAAAGCCCATTTCCCATGGAAAAGACTTCCATTCTGACTCTAAAACATCCCCCTTTAAAAGCAGACAGTGCAAGGAGTAGGATTGCCCCACAATTACCCACACGGGGAAGAGGGAGTGGAATTTAAAAGATAAAGCCTTCTAGAGTTAGGAAAACTGTTCAACTGTGTAGATGTAAAAATTAGATAAAACAACCAAAATGTCCATCCATGAATGAATGGATAAAGAAACTGGTCAATACATACAATAGAATATTATTCGGCTTTAAAAAAGAAGGAAATTCTTCAGCATGCAACAACATGGATGGATCTTGAGGACATTATGCTAAGTGTAATAAGCAGGTCACAGAGAGACAAATACTGCCCAATTCCTCTTATATAAGGAATCTAAAATAAGCAAATTCATTGAATCAAAGAGTGGAATGGCATTACGAGGGTTGGGGCAGGGGGAAATGAGGAGTTACTAGTCAATAGGTATGAAGTTTCCTCTAAGCAAAATGAATAAGTTCCAGAGATCTGCTGTGCAACACTGTACCTATATTAACACCAATGTATTATGCACTAAAAATGTTAAGAGGGTAGATCTCATGTTAAGTGTTCTTACCACAAAAAAATAAATAGAGCAAAGAGCACCCCCCCCAAAAAAAACCCCTAAATAAATCTGTATTCCTACTTTTTTTAAAATATGTTTTTATTGATTTGAGAGAGAGAGAAAGGAGAGAGAGAGAGAAACATCAATGATGAGAGTCATTGATTGATTGCCTCCTACTTGATTTCCCCTATTGGGGATCAAGCCTACAACCCGGGCATGTGTCTTGACGGGGAATCGAACCAATGACCACCGGTTCATAGGTCAACACTCAGCCACTGAGCCACGCCAGCCAGACTGTATTCCTACTTTTAAAAAAAGCAAGTAACTGAGATCCAGGCCCAACCACAGACAACAGATCGATGTGGGGCAAAGCCAGCAAGGTGGCAGGGTGGCACAACTCCAGGTCAGCCAAATGAGGGGGGGGACAAGGGACCACAGCCAACCACACTCTGCCCTGGCTGCAGCCTTGGAGGACCTGATGCAGGCCGTGGCCGAATATGGCTGGGCCACTGCCAGCCACTTCCATGAATGAGTCCCTAAGAAAAATCCCTGGGACTCCCACATGGTGCCATAGCCCCAGGGCTCGCAACCACTGTACTCCTGCTTCCACAACAGGATTTTAAAACAACAAAAATCCCTTCCTTGAAACGACAGACAAGAAATGCATTTGAAAAAGGTCACTGCAACAAAAAAGAAAACAGAAGTTCTCTGTGGGTCAGAAGGTGAAGGATGGCCCACAGATAGTGGGAACCTGCAGGAAATTCCTCAGGCATGGCAGAGCGCAGGCTTGGGAAAGGAAATAGGGAGGTCGCTGTGGGATTTGCCTTATTAGCCAGAGCTCCAGGACTTCTGACAAAGGGTGATTCACTAGGAGAAATCTCGGTGGCTACCGAGGTGAAAGCAAAGGAGTGGGAACTAAGGGCCTGGGAGGCAGCAGATTAGCAGGTAGCTTTCCCAAACTGGCAGGGCCACGGGAGCCGCTGAAGAGCTTTTATTTTAGCAGCTCCCCCAGTGCTTTTCTGAGGTTCATTTCATTGTGTCTTTGTGCTTTTTTTCTCTCTTCCTCCTTTGAACAAACAGAACAGAACAAACATGACCTATGAGAAAATGTCCAGAGCCCTGCGCCACTACTACAAACTAAACATTATCAGGAAGGAGCCAGGACAAAGGCTTTTGTTCAGGTAGCACTTCCTTTTTCTCCTTTCCTTCTTTTGGGAGGATATTGTTTTCTTTAAATTGAGAGGGAGGAGGGAGACTGTTAAGATCTCTACCTGCCTATCGGATACTCAAAGCCATTGTGGCTGCAAATCGGATATCAGGTACTGGTTTGTTTGCGTTGAAGAAAAAATAATTTGTTTTTTACTTATGTCTGTCCTGCAGTAAAACCAAAACTAAGTAAATGCAGTCTGACTCACCTTTAAAATCATGGAATGAATAAATAGTATTATCTGCCATTAATATCCAGGGTAGTTAAAGGGAGCAACCAGAGTATATTGTCAATGGCAAAGCAAGGAATTAAACCTAGACTCCCAGGGTACCAGCCCTGTAAGCCAGTGTTGGTCAAACTGCCGTCGTTACCTGTGAGNTGCCATAGCCCCAGGGCTCGCAACCACTGTACTCCTGCTTCCACAACAGGATTTTAAAACAACAAAAATCCCTTCCTTGAAACGACAGACAAGAAATGCATTTGAAAAAGGTCACTGCAACAAAAAAGAAAACAGAAGTTCTCTGTGGGTCAGAAGGTGAAGGATGGCCCACAGATAGTGGGAACCTGCAGGAAATTCCTCAGGCATGGCAGAGCGCAGGCTTGGGAAAGGAAATAGGGAGGTCGCTGTGGGATTTGCCTTATTAGCCAGAGCTCCAGGACTTCTGACAAAGGGTGATTCACTAGGAGAAATCTCGGTGGCTACCGAGGTGAAAGCAAAGGAGTGGGAACTAAGGGCCTGGGAGGCAGCAGATTAGCAGGTAGCTTTCCCAAACTGGCAGGGCCACGGGAGCCGCTGAAGAGCTTTTATTTTAGCAGCTCCCCCAGTGCTTTTCTGAGGTTCATTTCATTGTGTCTTTGTGCTTTTTTTCTCTCTTCCTCCTTTGAACAAACAGAACAGAACAAACATGACCTATGAGAAAATGTCCAGAGCCCTGCGCCACTACTACAAACTAAACATTATCAGGAAGGAGCCAGGACAAAGGCTTTTGTTCAGGTAGCACTTCCTTTTTCTCCTTTCCTTCTTTTGGGAGGATATTGTTTTCTTTAAATTGAGAGGGAGGAGGGAGACTGTTAAGATCTCTACCTGCCTATCGGATACTCAAAGCCATTGTGGCTGCAAATCGGATATCAGGTACTGGTTTGTTTGCGTTGAAGAAAAAATAATTTGTTTTTTACTTATGTCTGTCCTGCAGTAAAACCAAAACTAAGTAAATGCAGTCTGACTCACCTTTAAAATCATGGAATGAATAAATAGTATTATCTGCCATTAATATCCAGGGTAGTTAAAGGGAGCAACCAGAGTATATTGTCAATGGCAAAGCAAGGAATTAAACCTAGACTCCCAGGGTACCAGCCCTGTAAGCCAGTGTTGGTCAAACTGCCGTCGTTACCTGTGAGTGAATCATGAAATAGATGTAATGAGTCAGTCGCAACTTTTTTTTTTTTTTAAATATATCTTTATTGATTTCAGAGAGAGAAAGGGAGAGGGAGAAAGAAAGATAGAAACATCAATGATGAGAGAGTCATTGATGGGCTGCCTCCTGCACGGCCCCGACTGGGGATCAAGCCTGCAACCCGGGCCTGTGCCCTGACCCGGAATCGAACTGCAATCTCCTGGATCCTAGGTCAGTGCTCAACCGCTGAGCCATGCCTGGCTGGACCAGTCACAACTTTTTTTAAAGAAATAGAACAGAATTGATTAGAATAGGATAGAGTTGAAAATATCAGACTGTATCACATGAAATTAAGAGGGACTGTTGGTTCATGAAAATTTTGTTTCAGGGGTGTGTGTGTGTGTGTGTGTGTGTGTGTGTGATGAGTCATGATATAAAATGTATTTATTACAATGCAGTCACCAGAAATAAGTCTGAAAGCTGTTGCCCTAGACATACCTCTTCCCAGGATTCCTCACAGCTGAGTCCCAGCCATTTAAACTACCACATAGATTGTGATCCCAAGTACAGTGTAAGAAAGGAGAATTAGAAGCAGAAGAAGAAGGGATCTAAAGGACCAGTCAGGGGAAGCAGAGCAGGTCATTGACATGGTGAGGCCAACTGAAAGCTGAGAGAAAATGGGATCAACAAACAACCTGAGGTTATGGGTTTTGGCAGGTGGGACAGAGAAGACTTATAGATGGGGCTGGAGATGTGGCTTTGGAATTATTTATATACAGGTAGGAAAGGACGCTATCTATGAGCATAAGAGCTCACCGGAAAGAGCAAGGAACCTGGGCTTTAGAATTAGGAATGGGTAGTAAGAACAGTTGAGATCTTGAAAACAAATGGAAAAGTCTGTTCAAGGGATGGAAACAGAAGGGAAGGAAGTAAAAAAGAGCCCTCCTTTTTTTGGCTGTGCCGATGCCGTCCATTCATCCTTCTTTCCAAATTCAGTCCTTGGCTTCTCTTCTTCCTCTGAAGGCTTTTCCTGAATGCACTGATCCCATTACACAGCTTGAATTGTCACCTCAATGGTTAGACTCGTAAACCTCTGTATCCAGCTTTCAAATCTCCCTGAAATTTCAAATCTGAATTTCCAAGAGCTTCTTATAGAACATGTCCAGTTAAATTTGACGTTAGTATCTCAGACATGAAACATTCAAGACAGACCTTCACATACTAGAAATACCCCCCTCCCCTCAGAATTCTTGTTTTTCATCAGTGGCATCATCATTGTTTTAAGCAACCAACCTTGACAGTACAGTTATCTTTGGCTCTTCCTATATCCAAGTCGGTCATTGTACTGAATTGTCCATTGGCTCCATTCTGTGTTGAAGGAATCACATGACCCAAGATTTCTTACCAGTAGGTTCCAGGCTGGAGTCCACCAAATTACAAGCACTTTCTTGAGATTTGGAAGATTAGGGAAAGGCAAAAGAATTATTGCTTCCCGAGCAATGGAGACTGATATCTAGGCTTCAGATTCATGCCCAGATTAATTCAACATTCTCTTTCTACCTTTGCCCACTCTCCTGCCCCCTGAATTCATAATACACACTGCCAGCTACCCTACAACACAAATACAATTCTCTTTATCAGGGAATTCACATACCCCTTTAACTCTTGCTTGTTATATATTTATATATATATATATACACATACATATATATGTATATATATACACATACATATATATATGTATATATATATATATACCCTCTAGATCCACTTCAAGTCTGCTGCCTTTATGAGGCCTTCATCAACTGCTCAAACATACAGATTTCCTCTTCTGTCATTTCTTGGACTCCCTTGGCCCTAAACCACATCGTGACCCCCATTTTTAATAGTGAAGTCCTTCTCCCCACAACTAGGTCATAAGCCTCTAGAAGGCAGAGGGTTATATTTTGTGTAATTCTGTCTTACACCTTATGGAGCCTTTCAATAAATATTTCTTGATAAGTCTAGCACTGAATATCAGAAGCTTAATATGGAAAAGTAGTCTAAAGAAGGGAGGGGTAGTGTGAAGGGCCAAATATAGCGTATCTGTGGACTTGGCCTGGAGGAAATCGTTAGTGACTTCAGATGCTGAGGAGAGAGTTTTAGCTAGGGGAGAAAAGGGAGAAGACAGCCCTAGCCCATTGGGCTCGGTGGTTAGAGCGTCAGCCCATGGACTGAGAGTCCTGGGTTCGATTCCAGCCAAGGGCACATACCTCAGTTACAGGCTTGATCCCAGGCTCGATCCCCAGCCCTGAGTCGGGGCTTGTGCGGGAGGCAACCAATCGATGTGTCTCTCTCACATCGATGTTTCTCTCTCCCTTCCACTCTCTTTGAAAGGTAATGGAAAAATATCCTCTGGTGAGATTTAAAAATAAATAAAAATTTTAAAAAGAAAGGGAAAGAAAGACAGACTTCAGACACTACAGGTTGTACTGCCTGAGAATCTCAGTAAGATGGGCAGAAAGTAAAAGTAGTGGTAGTTGGAAAGTTCATAGGTTTCCGATAGTGATTTTCAACAAGATAAAAAGGAAAGAATAGTGCTGTTAGTGAAGGACATTAGTCATTTTTGAGAAAATGAGTATTGCAAGCCAGACTTGCCACAAAATGAAGGCCTCTTGGTATAAAACCCAGGATGTATTCAAGCGGAGTGTTAAACTGTGGTACTCTGTACCAGGTGGATGGGAGTTGGGGGAAGGTTTCGGTGCACACTGGTGCCATCCGCAGCTCTCTGATGACAAGACAGCTCAAAGAAGGAGGGCTCAGACAGTGGAAGGAGTAGAGAGGGTTTCGAATACGGCAAAGCTGGAGGTTTGGAGGGTGGCACGAGCCATGACTGTAGGAGGGAGAAGACCAGCCAGACAGGGACAGAGGGTTCACACTAGTAAACAGTGGGAACCAAGAGCTTCCTGGGTGAGGTGACAAAGGGCCCATGCTCAGGCCAGACAGTGTATCCTTGACCTGGTCATCATAGGCTTTTGGACATGGAAGGATGAGAGAGAAAATGTGTGTGTTAAGAAGGTTCATCTGGTGCAGGGCGGAGTATAAGGGAAGGGAAAGGTGTGCCAGCACAGAGTGGGGCTGTGGAAAGGGCACTCCCACAGTAGGGCAGAGCGTTTGCATCTAGGCTGCCTTCCGGAGCCACGTAAATCATGGTTGAAACTTATCACCAAAGTTATTTCCAAGCAAACCCAATGAACAAGAAGGCGAGGCTTGCTGCAGGCACCTGGCTGCAAAGGAAGCCAGACTAAAGGGGACTCATCGCTAACATTTTGAGTGCATCAGTGTTAACATAAAAAATACTTTCTTTTGCCTTTCTGATTTCCCAAAGCACCACTACTAACTGGCCCTGTGATCAGAATTTTCAGTTCAGCATTTAATTGTATCCTTTGAGTTAAAATCAAGTTTTGAATACCATTCCCTGGACTCACAGTTCAGGATGGAAGTGGATCTACAGCTCTCATGGGTTCTTATAAAATGCAACTCTCTAAAAATAAACACAGATAAGCGAGCTGTACAGGGTTCCCTCGCTTAGTCCTACGGGAGTGCACTGCACAGCTCCTGTGGGTGCTCCCTACCTTGCCATCATCCTAGCAGTTTTTTATAGTTTTTTCACCATTTTTCAGGTGGTCAGGGAAAGGGGTGCCTTTTCTGGCTGCAGTGGGTCAGCGTTGATAGCTGGGTTCAGTAGCTCTCCAGCTATATGAGGTGATGAGGCCTTTCTGTTTAGTTTTGTGTTCGGGGTGAAAACAACTTTAGGAAAATGTCATCTCTCTACTCCTCCATTTCCTCTTCCAAAGGTTTATGAAGACCCCAGATGAAATCATGAGTGGCCGAACAGACCGTCTGGAGCACCTTGAGTCCCAGGAGCTGGATGAACAAATATACCAAGAAGATGAATGCTGAAGGCACCGACCCCCATCTCAGTGGCCGCAGCTGAGGGCACTGCTGCCCATGAGGACTGCTGGAGGCGGGACAGAGCAGGCGGGCTGAGGAGAGGAGGAAAGGAAGGGGCCCAGGCATGGGGGTGACGCTCCTCTTGCATACCAGGAGGGACCTCAGAGCACCTTAGACAAACCACCCAGCAAAGGCGGGGCTGGAATTCTGGCCGACGGCACGAGCCTGGGTCTCGCATTTCATGCTCCCTGCTCACCCACAATCTGTCCATCTGTAACTCCTCACCCTCACCCTCCCACCTGTTGTTAGTTTCATGGTGTTTTCGTTTTTGTTTTTTTAAGACCATGCAGTTTGACTTTTCATCATTCATCTAGGGGAAGACATCCAAGGTTGTTTTCCTATGGAAATGTATATCTATTATATATATATATCGCAAATCTCACAAAGTGCGGCAAACCCAGCTGGTCAGGAAAGAGAGTACTTGCAAAAGGGTTCAGGCTCCTCTTTCTCCTGCCACATGGATCAGGTCTGTTCCTGTTGCTGTTGGATGTTGGCTGGGGGGGAAAAAAATGCTTTTGAAAAAGATAAAGTGAAAAGGAGAGAGCTCTCATTTTCTCTCTCCTGCCCTCTCTCCTTCCTTGTCCCCCCAACCCCTGAGTTCAGCCTCTTGGAGAGTCTGGGGAGCGATGGGCATCTAAACAGAATTGGTGGTCTGGCTGCTTTGGGGCCGGCACCGTTAAACCCACATCCCTGTATTTGGCCACCTGTCCGAGGGAGTCCCAAACATCCGAGCTGCTGCTGTCCTCCCGGGACATAGATGAGCGTTAGTCCCGCAGACACGGCTCTGAGGGCCACGCAGCACCATAGTCCACAGAGCCTCAGACTAGGATGGAAGCCCCAGCGCCTTGGGGTCAGCTTGCAAGGGCTACAAAGTGGAAAATCCGAAAAGCCCACACAGGCCTGATGGTCCAGAAACAGTGAAAACTCTGCAGTGGGACTCTTATCCCAAAGCAGGTTACAGAGGCCAGTGAGGCAGGAAGGGTCGTGCTCCAGCCCAAAGGCCATCTTGTGGTCAGTTCCATGTCCTCACCTAACGTCTCTTCGCCGCCCCCCCCCATTCCTAGGCTTTTGAAAAGTTTCCCGGTCCCCATAGGACAGGGCATTGGAGAGGGGAGGACTGGAGTGTGTAGTCTCCGTCGCTACCAGTGCTTGCCCAGCCTGGGCAGGCAGGAAATCCTGCAGATACATTACCGTTTCCTCTGTCCTTCCATAGCTGTGTTTCAGAATGGACCCACTCGTGGCTCTTTCTCACCTCAGAATAGGGTCGATAGTGTCTTGGAAAGTGAGGGAAGTGCCACCCCTAGTGCTTTTGATGATAACATTTTTAGAGAGCTGTTGAGATTTGCTTTCCTTTCCTAGCCATCTAAATGAACTCTTCCAGTCAGGCTCAGAATCCAGTATTAGGAGCACTGTGTGTTTTTAATTCAAAAGATTAGACCTGCCTTACATAGCACCCCTCCCCCGTTTCCCTCTGTTTCCTGGGCTCGGTTGAGTGAGCATCTCCCAGCTCCCCAGGGCACATGAGTGACTGTCAGCAGCGGGTCCCAGGTGACGCTGCGAGATCCCTGGCCTCTCCTGCAGCCACTTCTGAGCTGAATCAGGCACACAGCTTTCTCCCCCAGCCCACTGACAGGTATGCCAGTCTGGGGTGGGAGGGCCCAATAGATTGACTATGGTTTAAGGACACTGGAATTGAGGAGCTAATCGGGCTCTTCAGTCTTGCTCTGTTCCCGCCTCTTACCGGACCACATGTAGACACATGGAGGTGGCCAGCCGCTCCCACCGTCACACGCTCCACCCATGCTGACGTCCAGAATATCAGGCTCGCAGTGAGGCCAGGGCCGTCCTTGAGAGGCTAGAGGCTCCCTTTGTGAGGGCTCAGTCTGCGTTGGCTTGGATGGTGAGGTGCGGCCTGCTCCCAGCATGGCCCGGATGTCTCAGCAGCGTTCAGCCCCACACCGTGATACGCTCTCTGACCTCAGAGGGGACTAAAGTTCTCTCTCGAAGGGGGAGATGGAGCAAATACCTGGCAAGCTGTGAAAGCCACTGAGTTTAAGGACTGGAGAGAAAGCTGTGTTTTTACTGGGGCCCTTTGTGTGATGATGAAATCAGATACCAGGGCATGCTGCTCTTCCCTGAGGTGAGGACATGTCATTCTGCCCACTTCCCCCAGGCATGAGGACTCAGGCTACTTTCTATTCCAAGAATCTTACAGTTGAATTATGGAGGAAAATGCCCTTTTGCCCCAGGGATTTTTGTATTTAAAGCAATATCCTATGAGAATATGTAAGACTTAGGATGACACCTTCTGCCACTTAAGGAAGAAGTGGAAGGTGCTAATTCCAGTATAGTCTTGATTTCCCATCCAGGTATTACCAGTAATGACCTTCTACTGATTCCCTTAACCACAAAAGACCTTCCCATTCATTTTTTGAGAGAATACCTGGGCCGTGCTGACACCGGGGTACAGTGCTCACACACTGCAGACCCCAGAGATTCCAGGCTGAAACTAGCAAACCTTGACGAAGCACCTGTTAGGCCCTGTCAGGGATTCGGAAATGACCTGGGCACAGTCCTGCCCTCCGAGGGCTCGCATTCCCCCTGCAGAATCCATCCGGCATGTCATTTCTCACTTCAACACTACGTACGAGGGGTGATGAAAGTTCCACCTGGGACCAAGTTAAGAGCACGTCTGTGACCTAAATAGTTGGTCTTTCCCTGCAGCCATGATGGGGATTCTTGGCCTGCAAGATCAGAAATTGGGAAAGGAAAATGTAGAAGAAAAGCCCCTAGGGAGAGGAGAGCTTTTTCCAGCTGTATCTGGAATGGACACGGTCACTTGTGTCTTGAAATTTTCTCGCATCTTCTCCCTGCACCTTGAGTTAGCCAGGTTGCCTCCTCTCCATCGGAAGATAGCAGTGGCAGTTGGCTGGACTGGCTATGTGGAAGCACCATGACTTCTAAGATCTTTTTGTCCCAAGGCAACTCGGTCTGGCGTAAGGCAGCATCTCCATTGTTCCAGGTCTTGGGTGGGGGCGTCCCTCGCAGGAAAAGAGGAATAACAGAGTGATGGGTTTGCTCCTTTCAACAGTATCTTTGGAGCCCTCTAAACCCATTGTCTTTTTACACTGAGAATATAGGTTTAGCTGAGACTTAAAGGCTGTGGCAGGATTTACCTAAATGACTAAGTCACCACCATTTCCACCTTTCCCTGCCTGGGCTCCAACACTGAATACATTTCTGAAATACTAACTCCCTTGTGCAGAAGGGAAACCTGAGTGTCAGAGAGGTACTATGTATGACTTGCCCTAGGAGCAGACAGCGTGCCAGGGACAGAGTCAGGTGTGGGATCTAGCCCTATCGTACCCCGTTTGACCCATTCCACCCAGGAGGCTGGAGATAAAAGGTCTGGGAAAATACACAAAAAACAAAGGGCAGTTTTCTTTGCCCAGGCATTCGGTGCTAGTTAGTTTTCACCCACTCAGCCTGCTCCTCTTCTGGGCAGAAACCTGGAATGCACGGAGTGACACAAGGAAGCCAGGGCAGGGGAAGGAGGGGACACAATAAAACCACCGAAGACTAACCCAGTGCTCTTGACTCCACGTGCATCAACACTAAACAGCTGCAAACTCCCTGGATCTTTCACACACGCCAAGTGAACAGTCTTGAAGACTCCTCTTTGTGACTGCAACCACCTGCAAACCAGAATGAATCTAGAATTTCTCTTTCTTTTTTTTCCCTTTGGTTTAATTTCTAATCTCGTTGTTTATGAGGTGTGGGGTTTATAAGGGACTGAATCAAATGAATGTAATAAAAAGAAAAAAATACAAAAAAAAAAAATGCCTTTTCTCAGGGCCAGTGAGTTGCAAATAATTTTTAAAGAAAAGCCTATAATTGCATCATCTCAATAAATTTTTTATTAAAAAAACAAAAAACCCCAGGTCTCTGTTCTTATTAATAAGATGAAATGGAGTCAGACAGGCAAGGTGCTCCAATAAGGTAAATCCTATCTCCACTCAATTACAGTATAAAATGCAGTCATAGATTTTTACAGGCAGGAAGCTGCTGTCATAGAGCTGTCTGCAGGCGATCTGTAGACAGGCAGCTCCAGCAAGGTCAGAGCAAACAGTTCAAAGCTGAGAGCTGCCACAGGTGGGGAAATTCACCAGAAGGAACCCCGAGCAGAGGTGCTTGGGTCCTGTGCTGTGCCGAAGACTTACCAGTTCACTGAAGAGTGAGGCAGTTCCCAGAGTTCAAGGACCTCAGGTCTCTTCACAATATAACTGCTCCTTAACTCTACTGAAGTCACAGATGTGAGCCTATAGGTGATGAGAGCATAAATATGGGTCAAGTTCATACTTACAGCCAGGACCATAGTGCCCTGGATGTCATCACACAGCTCAGAGCCGGCCCCATCCTCAGAATGTCTCAGCAACACTGGCCAGTGGAGACACCTGCCAACCAGTAAACACATCATTTCAACATCAAACGACCAGGACTATATTTTCCGTGAGCGGTGGGTAGAAACTAAGAGAAGAATGGAAAATGAAGCAAATTAACGTTCTGTTAGCAACTCAGATGTAGGTGTGGGAAGCAGAAGTTTGAAATCAGTCGTCTCAGAGAATGTTGTTAGTTTGTTTCGGTATTTAGGTTGTCCCAGGTACTCTTGACTCCCATGACCTTGGATGGATGGCTGAAATTTGGCCTATATGCTGTATCATCAGAGCACAGTATCAAATAATAAGGGTCTAGGTGTTTCCTGTGGTGCTAGGAATGCATCTGAAACTCCTTTTTCTATAATCCAGCATTAACATCACCTGGGAATTGCTAGAAATGCAAAATATCAGTTCCCACCCCATAAACTAAACCAAAAACTTAGGCGGTAAGGCTTAGCAATCTGGTTTAACAAGCTCTCCAGGTGAATCTGAGACACACTAATGTGTGAGAACTGCTAGCATCAGTGTGTTCATCTTAGTATGAAAAGCAATGTCTGGCCATTTAAACAGTACACAGAGTAATTGATGACAGCTAATTTGCATTAATAGTACACAAAATAATGCTGCACTCCCCTGATACTAGATATGCTGTGGAATAAGGCTACACGGACACACAGTCACACACCAAAGTCCTCTTCTTGCCTTCTTCAAACCTTTTAAGCGACACATTCGCTATGAAAATGAGCTGTTTTAAAGGGCAACTCTTAACAGCTGACCTGCCCTTGCAAATTAGAGCACAGCAATTTATTCACTTAAGTCCATTGATCTGCCTAGCCAGCCTAATACAAAAAGGAAAGGAGAAGGGTCGTTCTGACTGACCTTGACTGACTGTCCCTGGAATAACTAAGCTGAGCCCAGGTGACCACTCAGCGGGGGTATTTGCAGGGACTCCAGAACCACTGGACTAGACCAGTGCTTATCAAACCTGAAAAGTCCTTGCAAATCACCTGGGGACCCTGATAAAAAACATGTTGCCCGTAATAATATTTTGGGAAATGTGGGCAGAAGATTGATTATTCTTCTACCTGCTCAGAGTGAGCTTGAGAGTCAGCATTTCTGACAAGTTCCCCGGTGACTTACTGCTGCTGGTCCTCAGACCACACTTGGAGCAGCAGGAGACCAGTGCTCTCCCTTCGAGCCCTGAGATTCTGACCCTAGTGCAAAACTGAGCTAGCCTCTGTCTTTATTGTATTTCTTTGCCAGTTCCTCCTAGAATAGTACCCGGGGCCAATCCTGCTCTGTGAAAGATTTGCTTGTTCAACTTTTAGGGCAGCAACAAGAATAAACATCATGATCATAAGCCTCCTCCTCGCCAGGTGGAAGAAGAGCTGGTCATGAGCTAGACCTTAATACTGGTGCTCATGACCAGCTGCCTCACGGCCCTCATCCTGATGGGAGGGAGTGAAAACTCGTGGTGTCACTGCCTCTCCTTCAGCCTCTAGAAAGACCAGCCTTGATCACTGTAAGGAGGTACAAAGCTGACGATTCCATTCTTGTCTTTCCAAAAGATAACAAGACAGATGAGCAGCCCTTCCATCCAAACTGCCTGAGATGTTGACATTAAATGGGGACAACCTTGGGGCAGTGTCCTCGCTGTCAGCACTTACAGATTTCATCTTTTTTTTCTTTTCTTTTTCTTTCTTTTAATTAAGGACTTCAGCCCTGCTAGATTAGAGAGGTAGATCTCTGCTAGTAAAAATCAAGTAAGTTCTGCCTGATCCCTTCCAAGGCAGTAGAAGACTATTCCCTTCCTCCCCGAACCCTCCTTAGCAACACTTCTGCAGTCCTCTGAGGATCTCTGTGACTTTCCCTTCAACCAGAGTTTTGGTCATGAGATCCCATGTTAGACCACCTGAGTCAACCTTTGCCTCCTCTGAGGGCTCTGACAGCGCTACGCATGCCCTCCTTGGTGTCCCAGCTACAAGTGCTTCTGTAAAAGCAGCCGAGTGCCTGCCTACGATGGACTGCTCACGTGCCTCTGTCCCCTACCAGAGCTCTCAGGGGGAGAAGAGTGTTTTGTGCACTTAAATATGACCAGCCCCTTACAGGGTGCCTGGCACAAGTGTACCTCAATAAGTGTTTGAAATGAGGAAGGGAAGACAAAGAAAATTTCTGTGACTTTAGATTACACAAAGGTGTCTTAGATATGACACCAAAAACAATCCATACAAGAAAAAAACTGACAAATTAGACTTCAGAATTAAAAAGTGCTCTTCAAATAATACCATTAAGAAAGTGAAACTACAAGCCACAGACTGGGAGAAAATGCATTTCTTTTATGCATAAAATAAATTTATTACACGCACTGAACGTATCTTCACATTTTTACTTTATCTGAAACTATTTTGAAAGACAGTTATCTTTCCATTCATAACTGCATGGTGTTAGTCACTCACACAAAAAGATAAAGATACATGTCTACTATAATAAAACCATCCTCAAAAATGTGTTTTAAATTTATTTCTTCTGTCATGTTGGAAAAACACCTTTCACTCTTCTGTAGTTCATATTCCTTCCCTTTGGGAGGCATATTAAAAGGTTTTTAGATAATAAAATAACTCATTTCTGATAAACAGCACTACACGCTGCATCATTTGGCCTCAGAACTTCAGCCTGCTGCAGCTATGGGCAAAGCAACATTTTTAGGCAGTGGGCCTCAGGACAGGAGCAGCAGCCTGCAATATCAAGGTGTGACCTGTTGTGTCCGGGACAAAGCTGTCACAGAGATAGAGCAGCACTAACAAGGATGTGGGTTTTGCCCACCTGAGTGTTCTGTCTAGGTGGGCTTCAGCGGCCACCTTTCATTTTGCCCCTCACATCAGGAATCCCCGGTAGACACCTGAGTCCACTTGGTACCAAGTTTCTGATTTATTCCGTTCTGATTTCGTGTCTCTCTCATGGACTGGGGCCCACACACCTGGCTGGCCAGCCTAGGAGAGCAGCAGAGCAGAGTGGTGAAACCGGTACTATCCAAGTCAGGACGCCTGGATCCGAATCCACCCTTCCTCTCACTAGCTATGTGGCCTCAGGCAATGCACTTAACCTTTCTGTGCCTGTTTCCTTAAATGTAAAATTAGGATAATGATAATAATAGTTCCTATTTCAGAGGGATGGTTGTGAGGATTACTGAGTTATTACAGAGAAAGGGCTTAGAAAAGTACACGGCACAGTAAATATTACCTTTTATTACAGTATTTTTATATTTTACTCTGGATCTGCTGAGCCACGAACAGCTGCTTCACCCAGAGCTACCTTCTAAAAAACGTTTCCGCTGCTTCTGTTTTATTTTGTTGTAGTTCAAACACCGTGGAAAGAGCGCAACCCCAGCACGTTACAGATGAGGAGTCAGAGGCCCGGCCAGGTGAGGGCTACCTGAGCCCTCCAGCGCCCCACAGCTGCCTGAGGCAGGGCCCCCAGTCTGGTGTCCTCCAGGCCAAGTCAGCCTCATGGGCCCCTGAGCACTCGGTGACATTTACCTGTGGCAGTGGACTCAACCCAAGGGAAATATTGGTTTGATTCAGGTTCACCAAGAATATTTTCACCTGGCCTAGCTCCAGTTCAATTGCTTCAGGAAATGTGCAGGTTTTGTTCTATTTAAAATTGGTTTGCAAGGTTCCTCGATTTTTGTTTTTTGCTTCCTGTTTAGGAAATCCTAGTTCAGCTCATGTGTGCACAAAACAATGTGATTTGGGTTCAGTTTGAGGGCTGGGACATTAGAATGGGGCCTGGGACATTAGAGGAAGCCACATCCTAAAGCCCTACAAACGTGGCTGTTTCGGACACCGAGAGGTCCAGCAGTGGCACTTCCTGACCATCTTGCTCACGCTGGACTCCTGCTTCCTTTAGAAAAGGGAAAAGTACACGTGACCAGGTTGAGAGTCTCCTCTTTCCAGTCCAGATGAATCTTTGTCCAGAGCAACAGGAGCAGCAGTGGCCATCTTGGGTTCTAGTCCCATCTAACCATATCTCCAACAATGCACTGTAGGTTTGGGCCTCAGTTTCATGGAGAATTACTTTCCTCAAAGCACAGTTGAAATGATTCAATGAAGAAAACACGTAACAATCCAAACACATACATGTTAGTTCCCTTCCATCTTTCCTGCCTGCCAAGCCTTCCCCACAACCCACATTCACTGCCCTTCCAGCCCTCGATTTCTATCCTTCCCATTCTATAGAATTCCAAGTGAAAAAAATCACCCACTGACAACCGCTGAGGGATATTAGACCTTTGGTTTCAAATCAACTGAATTGCCACTTTACTTCCTCAGCACACCTGTGGCCCTTAGTCAAGACTTTGACCAAAATAAGGTCGAATGCCTTTCAACACAACCTGGGAAGTCAGAC